GGCCCTCTCTTCGGCGCCAAAACGCGCGGGAAAATCACTCTCCACTTACGTGAATAGCACCAACACCAACACCAATACCAACGCCAACGCCAACACCAACTCCGGCCTCACTGGCGACCGAGGCAGCGTGAGTAGTGACGCCTGCATTGGCAACGTCAACAGCAAAATCGACACACCCACGGCTTCACCGAGTGTCAATGGGTTTCTGCCTCCTTCCGGCTCCAACTGCGTCCCCCTTCCTCCTCTCGTCGCCTCCACCCAGTCGGTTGCCTTGACAATGTCTGCCTCGGAGGCCGCGGAACCGGCGTCCAGTTCTGATGAGCCCACCGCCTCGGAGTTGAGGTTGGGCGCGTCCTCGTGTCCGGCGGCAGCGCCTCGGCCCGACGACCTGCTGCCCGGTGGACAGCCGGGCTTTGCCGAGATCGCCTCGGAGGCCAGTGATCCGGCCAAGCCGATCATCTGCCTGGACGACATGGAGGAGATCAAGTTGGAGCCGACCACTCTTCAGGCGCCGCCTTCGCCCTCGTCCATGGACTCGCACACTTTGTCCGGCTTTCCGGCCAGTCATTTCGGCAGCCTCTTCTCTGCCGGCGGTCTGGCCAAGCGGCCCGATCTTCCGTTTGACGCCCAACAGTTCAGCCCCATCCTGCGGGCCAGCGCCGCTGGGCCGGCCGCCACTTCGCTCCGGCTCAGCTTGACGCCCGGCCAGCTGTCGGTGCAGGCGCTGTCGCGCACCCATCGTCTCCAGTTCTCCTGTACCTTTCCCGAGTGTCCCAAGCGCTTCCTCAACCGTGAACGCCTCACGCAACACCTGCGCACACACTCTGGCGAGAAGCCCTACACCTGCGCCTATCCCGGCTGTCTGTACCGCGGCACCAGTCAGAGCGCGCTAATCGCACATCGACGCATCCACCTCGACCGCGAGCAGAGGCGTCAATTCCTCTGTCGCTATCCCGACTGTGGCAAGGTCTTCCTGTCGGCACGCAGCCTCTCCGAGCACATGAACATCCACTTCGGCCAAAGGCCATACACTTGCGAACAGTTGGGCTGCGGTAAAAGCTTCTCCAGTAAGAGCTACCTTTGCGCGCATCGACGCACCCATCTGCCGGTGATGGCGCTTTCGCCCGACCGGACGGCCGAGTACTTGCCGCTCACGGCAACCACTCTTGCCAGCGTCAGCGCCAGCGCCAGCGCCACTTCCACGCCTGTGCTGCCCAGCCTCAAATTGGCCTCGTCCTCCGGTGGTTGCACAGTGTCCTCTGCGCCCACAGCCTCGGCGGCCGCGGCAGCAGCTGCTGCCGCCGGTCTAGGACATCTTCTCCCAACCCACCATCATCACACAGCCTCGGGCTCGTCTATGCATGTCGGACTCGGACCAGCTGCTTCTGTCACCTCTCATCTGCAGCACACGGGCGCGCTTGGAATCGGCACCCAGTTGAATCTTGGCACAGCTCTGGCACAACACTTGCATCCACCGCAGCATCAACAACTGGCGCAACAGCAGCAGCAACAACAACAACAACAATCGCAACAGCAGCAACAGTCGCAGGCTCAGTTGTCACACGCGGTTCAAACACACCAACTACACCATCCTTCTCATCATCCTGACAGTCTTGCCACGACACCATCGGCTGCGGCGGCAGCAGCAGCAGCAGCGGTCAAACATCTCTCAAACACTCTTCCCTCCCATCACCTCAGCCATCAGCAGCAGGTCCATCAGCCTGGGCAGCATCAAACGTTTTTGCAGTCAATTGCTCCTTCAGTTAGTGGTGGTGAATTTGCAGTCTTCCCTTCCCTTTTCGGATCACAAAGTGGTCAGCTGGAATAGGCTCTATTTGAATCCTTGATTGCTGTAGTCGTTACTTGTTAGTCGTCTGCCTATCATGAATCGAGATGTCTTGGATTAGTTTAAATTAACCTCGACGTTACCAGTGGCCACTGAGTTCGAGTCCCTTTACGAGTGCAGATGCGGCATCATTTTGACGCCGAGGCAATGGGTTAAATTTAAAACTTCCCCATGCGAGCCGAGGGGAATCAAGATGGAGAGTAGAACAGATCCCAACGCACTAGGCTGTGGCCCGCAGATGCAATTACTTGTCCAAAGGTAACTTTATCGCCGGAAGTGAAACTCACTATTGTTTGACCAGAGAATTTCTTCGGTTTGTCTGCTTTCTACTATCATCCTGGTACTGACATTCCAGGCTTCTTACTGTTCTATCAACGGTGGCTGTAAATATTTTCGCCAACTTCTCTTTTTCGCTTATATTTTTGATAAACTGGGCTTTATCATCTGCTTTGTCCATTTTAATTCTAAAGGTTCTTGAATCTTCAATTTTTTATGAAGATTTGGTTGGTAGATATTCGTTAATTGATCCTAGTGAAGGTCGAACAAAGTTTGCTTTACGGTTGCAACTGTTGCATTGAGGAGAGAAGTCCTCAGTCCACTTTCCTGTGCTTGTATTGTCAGGAAGACCTATGGAAACGCATCTTGTCCGGAGTCCGGACTATACCAAGTCTACTGTCCGGCTGTAAATTATCATGTATACTATGGACTCCGGATATGGGCGTTCCATTAGGTCTTCATGACACTAATCAAATTGCGAAAACAAGATTTAACAGTGTTGTGAAACCTTTCATTTCGTATGAAAGTGCATGAGGAAGATATTCATGGATCGATCTCACCACAAGACAACGGGAATCAGCCGTCTTGTTATCTTAAGAAGATACATCGAAACCCACATTTGCTTCGTATACACAAAGTCAAACAGCATATATACAATGAAAGGAGACCGCGACCACGCAAAAGGTTACAACATGGTCTCCATACCTTCAATTAAACTATTCTATTTGTCTGTCTATCTTGTCATGACAAATAATCAGTGCGAGAAAGCATTCTTTAGTGGAATTCAAAAGGCTTGAATATGTAGATTAGATGGACTTTGAAGAATTCCTTAATACATAGATGCTGGTGGGTGCGTAGGATCCGTGACTGGACCATTTTGGGCAGTGAAGAAGTATTACCTTGGAGGCATGACTGCTAGGTTGTGGGAAGAATACCTCAGCTTACCGTCCCGCAACATTGATAAATATTTGCTGACCTTTCGTCAATCATGCGGCGGGCATCGTCAGAGCCTAAAACATTATTTTACAAGAAAGGTTAGCACGGATTTTTCGGTGCCATAGGACCGTGAGCCGGGGTTTTCTTCGCATGATCCAACAGTCACAAGTCCAAGACAATCCTCCTCTCGCAAATATCTT